ATTAAGTATTATATAAAACAATTTCACAACCATATATGAAACAACTTCATCAAAAAAAGTATTATATGAAACAATTTCACAAGATTAAACAATTTTATGAAAAAATTTCATAAGATTAAACAATGAAATCGACAGATGAAGGTGGTTTGCACGGTTTATACAAATGAGGACGGTTTTCATATGATCACTCCTCTATATATATATATATATATATATACATGTGTTGACTGATCCAATATATGGAACTACTACCTGTCTTTCATTTTTCTTCCCCAATTCATTTAAGCTGACTTCTAATGGTTTGTAATATGACACATTTGAATTTATGAAATTGTTTGTGTTACCAACTTTGAAAAATCAGAAAAAGAAATATTATCACTGTCAAACAACATATATCTGCATTAAGTGGTTGTTTTCATGGTTAAACAATACTACATGATACCTTTTCAGTGTTAAAGCTAGCAATTATGTTTAATTGGTTCCTCACTCTACTGCAATGTTACACTTTGTTATATATGCAGAAGCATTCCCAAAATAGTTGAAGCTTTGAGCATGGATGGATCTAGTGGACAACAGATAGAATCCTCAAGGACTGACCCATCCTCAGGTGCACCATTCGATATATCTCTTGCTCATTTTCACCATCGAAATAAGTCTTAAGGTGCATCTTTTTCTTATAAGGTCTCTAAATTTGACTATTTTTGCAGGGAAACTTTCGGTATCACCTTCTGATAGATATGCAGTTGTCCCGGATGAAACTGTATGTTATCTTTTGCAACGCTTCTCAATAATTATTTCTTTGATCAGTGCTGTTCTTACTGTGTTACCATGATTTTCATGTTATTCAAGTAAAAAATAATATTAGTAAATCACTCAACTCAGCAGTGTGCCTTGAGCAATCTGTAAGGCTACTTCGCCATGGGTGGAAGATTGCAGATTTAACTAATGGAAGCAGGGTCTTTGTAAAATGCAAGGAATTACCAAGTGCTAGAAGTTCCCTTATCCCGTTATGATATCATATAATAATACCAACCTGCTAATCATAAATCAGTACGCATATTACCTTTTGTGCAGGTTCAAGCCAGGACTAAGGGAAATGACGCTAGTGTCCCTGAGAACGACTTGAAGAGAATCAGGCTCTGACTTTTGGAACTCCAAACTAACCGCACCCCGTGCCTGTAGCCTCCAATCCATGTTTGTTCCATTTACCCTGCCACACACCATATCTGTTTCAAGGTTTATCATGGTGTCTGGAAAGGGACATATATATATATAATATATTTGCTATGACCTTAAAAGAGTTTGAATAGTAATTCCATCGTAGTATAGATTTTGTGCATGTTATGTACCATGTCAAATATGCTGGTGTATTGTATGATGTTATTATCTATTGCATAACGACAAAGTCTTGATGGTTGTGCTCCCTATTTCGTACACTTCAATTTAGTTTTTTTTATTGTTCTTTATCGTTGTTTTGGAAAAGAGGTCAAGTTTGTGTACATTCCACCCCCAAACCTTAAAACCTTACTTCTGGGTGGGATACATAGGCCTATTTGGTTTGTTTTGCTTTACTTACAACACCAAGTGCTTTATACAACTTTTTCCCATGCATTCCTATGACTAATATTTTGAGTGTGCAGATGCAGAATACACCTCTTTAGAATGGTAATATGTCTTTATTCTTCAAGGTAAACAGAGCAAAAAAAACAAAAGAGATTGCCAAAACACGCAAATATCGTATTGAAGAAAACTAACTTAAAAACTCCATTGATTCTCTCTCTCTTTTGGAACCTATCTATGAATCTATATATATACTAACCATGTACGTATTA